TTTTGACGTGACAACGTCTTATAATTCGATGGAGCCGGCTGCACGCACGAAAAGACATGACTCATGCGGCGTTACCTCGCTCTGAGGCGTTCCATTTAAGGCTTGAAGTGCAAGCGAGAGCGCGGAACGACCGACAAAGAGGCACAATCGGCCTCCGCGTTCGACATCTGTCTCTCTCCTACTTGAGTGAGCGATGCGTCCGCGTGACAGCTGCTATACAATAATACATTTCCATTTACCTCCTTCTCTATACCCATACAAAATATCTATCAAACAAATATAATTAAAATTTTCGTTTGAAAAATGAAACCATTCCATCAGTATTTTCTTATTATACGTTCAACTATCGTCAGTAAACCGACTTTACAGTTTAGTTTTAGGGAAATGCGAAGATTAGCTCAGAATAGGAAAGAGTGGAGGTGCGTGTTCAACCAGTCTTAGGACTGACTACCTTATGATGGTGAATATAGATCATCTTTTATTATCCAACTTCCTGTGCCCATTAAATATTATTGATGTACCTATTTGGTTATTTCAGCTTGTGTCGATAAAATTTTCTTTCCCTAATCGTTGTCTGAGCTGCTCCAGTCCCGTGAGAACGCTGATTTTTTCTTAACCAGTACTTACAACGTTTTTGTTTGTTTGTTTGTACTAAGTAAGTTTTACTTACGATTAGACGTTAGCGTGCTCAAAGAGTTTTCAATTGGCGGCATAAGTACTTAGAGATAGTTAGTAGTACGGTTATCCCAGAGTCTTAGAAATTATAGGTGCATTGTTTTTCATTGTAATAAAGAAGTCCGGCGGGACGTTAATTGAGAATAAACCGAATACTTTAAGAGGCAGATTTTTTATACATACTTATAAGTAGGTATATACCTAGCAAGAGAAGGAGATGCGCAACAGGTTTCAGAAAACATTTACTTACTTCGGACTTTCAAGGTTAGGTGTGTGTGGTTCGATATAAGTTGAAGAACTTCTTTGTGGACCGCATCTTCGACGGCGAATCCATTGATGCGAAGGATCTGGTCTCCCACCTGCGAGACAAAAAAGAACACGGCATAAAATGACAACTTCTTTGCAACTGTGTAGTGCAAATAACGTTATGTTTAAAGTTGTTCCCTTCGTTTATTCTTTGACACATGACCACATAAGTCCATTCAAATTAAACAATAACATGACCAAAAGACATAAAAAAGCAGTACTGATACGTGTTGAAAGTTATCCTTAATTATTCACTAAAATAATAAAACACAAAAGTCTGGCCCCAAGGAATCCCTTGCGTCCCCTATCAAAATGTAGAAAACACAGTCAAAGCTCATTCTTTATTTAAAAGTTGCTTCCATTGGTTTATATTAGAGATAGGCCGGGGTGCCTGGTTTGGATCCAGCACCTTCTTTAGGATCCGTCCAAGTACCAGATACTGTCGCTGGATACCTGGCGTTGCCGGGTAATTCTACAGAGGAAATAGAAAAACAAACGCAAAAGTCCAACCCTGGGCAACCCCTTGAGCCCCTATCAAAATCTAGAAAACATAGTCAAAGCTCATTCTTTATTTAAAAATTGTTTCTATTGGTTTATATTAGGGATGGGTCAGGGAGCCCGGTTTAGATCCAGCACCTTCTTTAGGATCCGTTCAGGTACCAGATAATGTCGCTGGATACTTGGCGTTGCCGGGTAATTCTACAGAGGAAATAGAAAAACAAACGCAAAAGTCCAACCCTGGGCAGCCCCTTGAGCCCCTATTAAAATCTAGAAAACAGTCAAAGCTCATTCTTTATTTAAAAATTGTTTCTATTGGTTTATATTAGGGATGGGTCAGGGAGCCCGGTTTAGATCCAGTACCTTCTTTAGGATACGTCCAGGTACCAGATAATGTCACAGGGTACCTGACATTGTCGGGTAATTCTACAGAGGAAATAGAAAAACAAACACAAAAGCCTATCCCTGGGGAACCTCTTGAGTCCCCTATGAAAATTTAGTAAACACAGTCAAAGCTTATACTTTATTTACAATAAATTATCATCTTTTGGTGTCTATAAACATTACAGACCCCTTTCAACGGTTTCAACTCAACCCTTTCGTTGAAAATCCGCCAACAAGAATTAAAACTTCATTGGTTTAGTGTTAAACGGGATTTAATGTGGCTTGGGACGTTGGTGAGGGTGGTCTTCAATGGAAAACCCACCAGAACGAACCCATGATTTAGTTTACCTATTAGTTATGATCTACACATTTCTAATTTGATCGCCCTGCTTTCTTTCTCCTAAATATGCAATTTTTTATCAGTTATTAATTTATTCTAAAATATAAGTACCTGTAAAAGAAATCACATGAATCATATTATGCTTAACCTACTTCCCTCGATATTTCAAAAGAATTCGATAAAATAAAATCTTGAATAAAATATTTCCGCGTTATTTTGAATATAAAACTTAGCTTGACAGGCACCGTTTGACTTGCGCATTCTCATCAACTAAATCAATTAGTTCTAGTTGGTTCTAGTGCATATTGATGCAATCTGGGCTTAAAGCAAAGCAAATTGATTACATTCAAACATCAGCACCTTCAAAATATATAGCAAGTAAGTGTTACATCTTTCATCAGAATTGGATTTCCCCGAAAACCGTAAAAATATTTACCGGAATGTGCTTAAAAACAATTAGAAGTGGTTGCGACGATCCAATCACATATTATGTCAATACCAAAATTATTTTAAAAAATTCACCTTCCCTTTGTTTGCGCTATGCATTTTAGACTCCTTCCCAATATCAAAAACTACATAAACGCCCTTTATGAAAGTTTAAAAACGCATAGTGTAAGATTGGTGCAACCTTTGTAAATAAAAACCGTGAAATTAAAGCGGCCTTGGCAATTTACTGTCTTTTGTGCAACAGTAGGATTGTTTGGCTTTGAAGAATCCACAGTTTTCCTACTACCTGCCTCCAACTTACTATTGTTTTGCAAAACGATTTACTTAATTTGTTCCCGCCGTATTTTGTAATTGAGTTCAGTTATTAAGCAAACCGTAATAATAAGCACTGGTCACACTACAGTCGGAATTATTTCCTGAATCGCATTGGACGTTGGCACAAACGTTCGTGTTTCAATATTCACAATTCCTACACTATTTTAGCAACACGGCTCCCATGTAAATAAATAACTGTTCTTTAACTGATCGTTAAGATGATGACAAAAATCGTGCACACACCGCTGAACATGTATAACTAATTGGAAACGACCACATCGAATGATATACTGGCTTAATTAGGGCTCATTTTTTATGCAAAATACTTCAAATTCTCAGAATGATTTCTTATGTTTCACGAACTCAATTTACATTTTAATATATACGCAATATTATATAAACACTATTAATATCTATACATACTACATATATATATATATGCATATATGTCCATGTATATTTTGTCCATTAGAAAACCTGAAGGTCTTTGAACTTTTTATGTTTTTTTCGAGAGCCACGGTTGGCCTTCAGGTATTTATCAAGTCGACTGCGTTTAGAATTAAATTTTGCATATTTATATGTTGGTATTATCAATCGAAATATAATAGGAACTTGTATTGGACATCTGGAATCATCTTCTAAAATTTTTTACAACCTTACCCATATTCATTATTTTTATTAAAGATTACAATTTGTTTTAGAACTAAAACACAGTAAAATCATCTCCAAATGGTCTCATAAACTTATTCTTATTTTTAAAAACGTTCTTTATACTAATAAAATAATTCGAAGTGGTCTGTATTCTGTGGAAACTGCCAGACGCGGATCGCGATTTCGATCTTTTTGGATCTCATCAGCGCGCCGCAGACAGCCCCGACAGAACACAGACCAACTTTTGCATGCTGGCTTAACAGTGCGTTTTAGAAAATACCACAAATGGCGCGGTAAACGCCATCTGTAGTACGATGCTACATTTTAGGATTACGTATGCTTCAACAAGGTCCATTTAAATATATGGATATCTACTTGCTGAAATGAATCCCGGCGTAGCTAACCTCAACCTTGTTGGAGCATACGTAATCCTAGAATGTAACATCGTACTACAGATGGCGTTTACCGCGCCATTTGTGGTATTTTCAAAAACGTTCTTTATACTGTTCATATCTAGCATTCCCACGGGCACCTTGCAGAGAAAAAACTGCCACTTCCGAGAGTGTGGTGATAACTGCCAAATCTGATGCAGAAAACATCAATCTTTTTATTTAATTTTCACAAAGGCTAATACATTTTTCAAAACGGTACTCTAATTGGGTGATTCCCCTCTATAGTGGGATTCGTCGAACTTCAGGAAATACCCATTTAGAGCACCAATGACTTCCCCTATGCTCTCAAACATTTGACCACCCAGTCATGCTTCGAGCTTACAATTAGGGACTAGATTATAGCTCACTGAGTGTTAAATATAGCGAATAAAGCGATTTTTACAACAATTAACATATCTGCAAATGTATTTTTTGGATGAATCGTAAGATGTGGCCATCTCTATTCACCTCTCCACTCAAATGTAGTCATTCTTACCCTTTGGGGGTAATAAACACGTTCAATTCTCATAAAATACCTTATTCACTGGCAAAATTGTTGTCAAACGTTTGCCAACCAAACTTGCAAAAAATAAGGCATCAATCTCCCCCCTTAGAGATTTAATTTTGTCGGAACAATATGAGTTATTCAAAAATATTCTCAATTCTCTTGCTGAGCAGAACTTTTTAACACACGACCAGTAAAATGGGCAGACTTTTTTTGCGATAATGTTTAACGCGAATAATATACCTCCTTTTTTGATAATGTCTGTTTGAAACCTAACAGTAAAAACAAGTTAGATGTTTGCATAACTAATGCAAACTGTGGACCACTAACTGGCATACAGTGAACATTTTGTATTAAATTACGTGTAAGAATTTTAAGACACGTTTTTATAACAAAAAAATAATTTTAGTGTATACTTTTGTAAATTTAAGGACACGCTGAAATTAGTTTTAAGTTTGATCCTTTTTTAAAATTTAACCTTTCTATGAGGTCACAGCTTCATGATTATACTCGGTAGATTTATTAATGACCCATTTAAGAATCCTTACATCAAATACTTATCTCATTATCTATATAAATCAAGGACCGTTAATGAGCGCGTATCAAGTAAAAACTTCTGAATAGATTTTGATCAAGCTTTTTTAGTTTTATTCCCTAAACGTTTGATTTCTATCTCGAATAAAAATGATCACAATATTCCTATTTAATATCAAGTAATTAAAGTTTCCATGCAAGTAGATAACAACTATGACCTTCAACAGCATAAATGGCCGCAACTATCGGTGTTCTTTTGTTTTTAAGAAGAGGGGACACGCGACGCAGTGCACATGCGCGGAAATGAGTGGAGTTTCTACTTCTTCCACTTCGTAAAGTATGCGTTAGCCGCGCATCATTTGCTAGAGCGTCACGTTGCTGTACAATACTATCTTTTGACTGACGAAGAAACGATATAGTTTGAAATGTAACAAAAACTTTTATAGAACTCTTGGTCCTATTTAAAGAACCAAAGTCTAATAGTAAAGTACTCAATCGAACCATTTCCGTCCTATTAGAAGGACTCAGTACTTTCCATCATTAAGTATAGTCAAGCAGGTCCAACGTAAGTCATAACTGATTTTGTATAACTGTCTGTGAAAACATGATCCACATAGAGCTGTTTACCTCATATTCTTGCTAACCTTCAAGAGGTCACAACATTAAAAACAAAAAAGGAACTACATTTCTTTTGAAGGTTATGTTTAAGCTACACTGAATCGTCATGTGCATCTGAACCTATTGCTTCTATGTATGATATTTTTCTGGAAAACGTGTAATGACAAAACTGGAAGGCACACCCTGTATAAATGATGTGTCAGATGAATAGTTTTATATCTCTATATACGCAAACGTTAGTGCCTATAAAATAGCGTTAGTCGTTTTACTTTTAACGAACTAGTCCCGAGAACCGTACATTGTACCTATATGCGTCTATTCATAAACTTG